ATGAGCATTGCTAAAGGGCTAATAAATGATGCTTTTGTAGCCATGGTAAATGATAATTATTTAGCATGGAATATCACTATAATTATTGAGTTTTGATAGGAATGATGAATAGTTRGGGATGGTAACAATAAAATATTACAAAAACAATAATTATAAATAATAATATCTACAATGCCATTATAATGTTGTAGATCCATTTCTTACATAATTAATCTTTCTCTTTGAAGGTATACAACAAAACATCTAAATGACGAGACGACACCCAAAAATATCCGAGCACTTTTAGTCCAGTGATTAGAGTGTAGATGTAAAAAAACACACTATTATGGTGGTTTTCTATTTATCATGGTAGCTTTTTAAAATGAGATTTTTGCTACAAGTTATAAATTTGCATGAGAAACATCTGGCATGTAGAAAATTGGAGCAATGGAATTCAAAAACCATTAGAAATATTATATAACACTTAAGTTTCTTGCCAACGTGAGTTCTGTGTAGATTGTATTGATTCCATATGACATTTCTTAAAGAAATTCCMTCCTTTCAGGATTATTAATCTTGAAAATAGTAAGGTACTAATGTACCAAATTTAGCATTGTATTATTATAGTTTACACTTTACTGCAGCTGAATTCCACATACTTTGGTAAAAACAATTGTGACAAAACCATAAATAAGTAAAATATGCATGTAATGCCCTAATAAGCTATACATTCAAGCAAGGGTAATAATAGTCTCCTTCACAGATACCTGCGCCATCTTGAAGGGTAGCAGTGCCTTTGCATCGAAGCGAGACAACCGTTGAGCGTGCAATGATAGATACCTGTGAATAATTGTCTATAGGTGTTAAAGAAGGTTGTCTCACTTCGATGACAAGGAACGGCTACCTTTCAAGATGGCGCAGGTAACCGTGAAGGAAACTATTTCTTTAGGGCATACAGAGAAGCAAAACCAAAACAGCCATCCCTTAACTAGAAGGGATTCAATTAGGAATGTGTTTCTACTTATCACTTAATAAATTCATGCATTTTTTAGAGTGCAAACAATATATCTGTGAAGCATCGTAAGTAAGACTATTAATTTTTGTACTATTTAAARGTAATTCATAAATCTCCTTGCTTTAACCACTGCTAAGCTTTGGATTAGTCCTACACAGGTTWACTGTTTGCACTCTAATTATTACATCACATAATAAACAATTTTTTAACTGGGCATTGTTTAAATATATATTAATAATGGAATCTCAAAACTTAGGCTAGGTTCATGTCGTATTTTCCTATTGGCAAACCAAATAGTTTTTATTTGATACATGAATGAAGATCATTGTGCAGTCATGTGAAGCTCAGAACATTATTTTGGAAAGACTGCTGCGTGGCATGGTAARAACTTGACATCCATCCACTGGTTTGGTATACAATACCAGAGAATATTATTAATGATAATAACCCTTACCTTTTTTAATCCTGACTGACAATAATAATAATAGTATTGCACTCACATGGTAATGTTGTCATGTATTTAAAATATGATAGAAAAATTAAATTTTGGTCATGAAATTAGTCCACTGGCTTAGTCGGTAGTCAATGAAATTCAAGCTTTGCTACAAATAACTAATAATAATAATAATTAATTAGTAATAATTGTATTAAGAATAATTCCATTCTACTGTATTGAAGTGTTATGCATGCAAGAAAAGCTGCCAAACATAATAAGAATTTTAATTGAGATGAATCTGTTTTTACTGAGTGTGCACATTAGACTTAAGCTATAAGGTTTCAAAGCAATTATTTCTTTCTCAAAAATTGGTGTACATTTACTATTATTATAATATTAGAATAATTAGATTACCAAATGTAAATTTAAATAACAATTCATGGTACCCTAGGATATTGTTTTAAGGTCAATTCAGAAAACTTGCAGAATTACCATTGAGGAGGAACTTTACATTCCCAGAGTATTTTCTTAGAGCAAGGAAACAATAGCAACAGAAGAATACAGCCCTTCATTCCCAAGCAAATACAAATCTGACATAAAATTATTAATCAGTAGATTATTATAATGAGTAGAAAACAACTGCGATCAGCTCAATGACATGAAAATATTATGAAAATTATATTTTTGTTTGAAAGATTGTTACTAGTTATGATTTGTCAAGCTCCTTAATATAGTTTTGCAAGTTTTCTAAGATGCATGATCCATGTGTGTTTGTGGATGCTATCTGTGAAATAAAGCTTGTTTCTTTGTACAAATATTGTTTGTAATGACATTTTAGAATTTAGGGGGYTGTTAAAATTTCCAAAAYTTTTCCAAAAGCRAAAAATCAGCATTTTTTATCGAATTGACAGGACAACAGAAACCTTTCTTTCAAGGTKGGATGTTTAGAAAAAATCCAAAACTTTTCCATAGCCCAATGTTTAAAAAATAGTTTTTCCAAGGCTTTCCAKGTACAGGAAAAAKGAAATGTGATTTCCAAAGCTTYCCAAAACCYGTACGAACCCTGTCCAATACTCTCAATCTGTAAAATATAGATGGTTCGAGTTCCATCTCCAACTGTCAAGTAATTATTAATATGAAAAACTTAAAAACTATTTTTAAATATAATTATTGTTTCCCATGGCACTTATTTTTGTTATGTTGAAAAATGTTTTGACTGACAGTTGGACTTTTTTGTAACTGCCACGGCTGGCTAACAGATGGAGGTAGGGAGATTTCCCTTGCATTCAAAACTTGAATTAATACTAAGAGARGGGAGCCCACCCTCCATCTGACAGCCTTCCATGACAGTTRGAGTATTGGTATCACTGTCTGAAACTGTATTGAAATTGAGTGCATAGYGGTTTGACACATTGGTAAACTCAATGAAATTTTTTTTATATTAATTAGATATAAGAGAGAGTAAAAAGTTATATATTATAAAGAGTTTCATTGAATTTACCCTTTACTTTGTGTCTTGCCTTGACCCTATAATTAATGGTTTTCTTCTTCTTTATCATTTTTTCTTGCCATTAATTTGCAGCTATCAAGGTGCCATTACTGCCACCAGTTGCAGTACTGTTACCCTGATGACAACATAATGACCACTAAATTCTGCTAATTTTATTGTTTTCTATTAGAACTATTTTCAGTAAATACATGTAACACATTTTAGTGTTTGTCCTCTATCAAAGTTATACTAATAATGAATGAAAAATTTGGAAAATATACACATCTGTTTCAACTATCTTATACCACAAACACTGACTAAAATGTTTTTCAAATCATTTTTATTTAGTACTTTTTTTTACATTTTTTCTCAAAATCTTTATTTAATTTTTTTGTTATTTTCAAATCATTTTTATATTTTTATATATTTTTTGTAATACAGCATCTTGATATCCTTCCACGACAGAGATGTAAAGCTGAAAGAAAACAGTTCATTATCAGCATGATTTGTTTTGATTTCATTTGCTTTGATTCTCTTGTTTTAAAAGATTTTATTAATAATTAAAATAAAAATATAATGCTATTAATTTCATATGTGCAAATTGATATCAATTACCATGACAATACTCAGTACTAGAAATTGTTGTATTTCTGGTTTTCATTGACCTATGGAATACACGTAGTTAGCATATTACATTGTACRCTAACTTTCTTTCTCCTTATTGTGCACTTTTTTTGTCATTTGCATGGACCACGGAGCAGGGGGGCTGGGGGGCTACAGCCCACCCCCAATAATTTTTCTGCCATTTTGAATTTTCTTAAATAAAGAAGCGAAGAGACTCCTTGTGAAATTTCACTTTTCATTATACAAAGATAGTGTAAAAACAATTATAATAAAATGGAAGCTTTTTTGCGAAGTCTTTGGGATTTTATTGAATATCATGTGACCGTGTATCAATTTTTGCAGTCAGAAATATGTATTGGAAAACGCCTCAAAACGCAGTAAATGACATCTCTGAGAGTCAAGATTTCAAAACTTTCCCGAATCCTCCACTCCTGCCTTTGGCAGCCGCTAGCCCCCCACAACAGATTTATCCACTTCTATTAAAGTTTGACTATTTCACTATGTTTCACAGGTTAAAACACTACTAAACAATAGCTGATTTAAGATATTTTGGTTCAGTGACTGTGCACAAAAGAATCGCATTCAAGGTTCTGGGGAAATAAAAGAATAAATCAAGATTTTCCATTGCTTTCCTGGAGCCTCAAGTGCGTTCTTTTGTACATAGTCATCTAGTAAACAGAATATCTAAAGTTGACTATCAAGGAACTAACACTCAAGAACAGTCATTTGCAAAAATTCTGACCACTATTACATAAAATTATMTCATGATATCTGATTCATCATGGGCAATGTTATTAAGAACAGACCTTTGCTGATCACATATCATCTGTGAATACTTTGAAATCATATTTGGTAAAAATTGCTCAAACATAATGTGCAGTTTTATCATGTTAAATGAAAGGTTGAATTTTTTTTTAATCAAAATCAACTAGTCGGCTATAAAATATTGATGTTGTTAGCAGCCAGGACTTCTTCAATTAACTGTAAGTGTACCCAGTATATAAATTCATTGACTACTTACCTGTGTGGATTATAGATGCTGCTTTATGGACCACCATTAGTTAGTGGCCTCCCTAGGGTGACCTTACTTTATGCCTAGCCTTATTGATCCTATAAAGTCTATATTAATTAATTCAATAACCTGTAAACAAATGTAAAATAGAAAAAGTCGAATAAATAAGGGCAGATTTCATAAAAATAAAAAATATATATATATAAAAAATTAGAGTTTCATTCTCGTCAATTAAGAGGTTACCAAAGGATCTTCTACTGAWCTACTTTGATGTGCTGTGCAAAAGTTATAGGATCAAGGCTAGGCACAAACTAAGGCCACCCTTAATGCTTGTTGTTTTTCTTCTTCTTTGACTTCACTTTTGGCAATTTTTTCTTGCCGTTTTCAGTTATGAAGACRAAATTGCTACCACCTGTTAAGCCTTTCCGAGACTTCACAGTGAAGAAATTGTTTTTGTCCATTTCTATGGAGTCTAATGATGTACAGGAKCCAGTTGCCTGGGCTGCTTTATCATTATCAATCATTGCTGTAATACCASATCCAAAGGCTTGGTCAACAAACTTTGAGAACTCTTCTACATTTTCAATCCTGTCTGTTGGTTCTTCAATACACATTCTTCTGCTCAGAAAATCTGTTTCTAGACTCTCAGTCTTACGGATATTAAGAATAGATGAAGAATCAGCTGTCAATAAAGGAGTTGGGAGACTTGACGAACTCGGCTTGATAGGAGGCAAAACGTCCTTCTTGGAAATGCATGGGCTCACATTGAAGCTTTCCATAACTGAGTTGATCTGAACTGAGTTATCTGGAGGAGGACTGTGTGTTTTGTTCTTTCTCTGGACAGTTAGGCCTGGTATTGATATATCAGGACTGGAGCAATAACTCTTCCAGTCAGACTGACTACCATCAAACTTGATAGGTGATCCCCTAGGGCTTGAAGCACAGCTTTCCCATTCATCACTGTAATGATATGCCATGTCTGGGCTACCATTGTTGGCGAGTGGAGGGGTCCAACTCCTTCTACTTTGAGAAACAAAATCAGGTGAATAGCAGCTGTTAGTATGGTCCAATAATGCGCTGCYCTTGCCTGGTGCAACAGACATCCTGCCACTAAAAGTTGGGCTTTCTGGCGGAACTATTTTCTCTAGTAAGGCTGTACTAGAAGTCTTCAGGTGTAATGCATCATCAATTGGCCAAACAGAAGGCTGCAGCTCCACTGATAACGGAGTGGCATTCCTCTCATCAGTTGTGGAAATTAAGTCACGAGGTGAAAGTCTTCCRTTGCCATTGCCAACTGAAATAGATCGTCGGGGACTTGAYGCAGGAGAGGGCCTCTTRATKGTTGGTGGACTGGGTATTTTCATACCATCCTGGAGCATATCATCAAAGCTTATACCTCCATAACTGTTWGGACTTGCAGGAGAAGCTTTGACTTCATTTAGAGATGACAAACTACTATAGTAGTGCTCCTCACTAACAGGGATCTTTATGATAACAGTAGCACTTGCAGGTGGACTTGCACCCTTTGCAGAAGAACCTTCACTTCTACATTGTCCACTAGGTGAAGGAGATTTCTTGTCAAWAGACAAAGAACAATATGTTTCACTGTTCCTCTTGTCTARTGATTTTGGTGAGGATGGTGAGGATGTATGTTCCCAAGACAGAGTGGTATATTCTGCGGCATTATCCTGTACTTCATTGTGTGAAGTAGAGGATCTACAGTCCTTATTTTCCACTTCAACTCCAATTGTGCTGTTTGCACACAGTGACATTGAAGATTCTCTTTGGATGGGAGGAGGAGAAGGAGTCACATACACTCTCCTAGCTGGGCTACCACTTGGAGAACMTCTTTTTGGAGTTGTTGGTGGTGTAGGTGTTCGGTTGCAACTTGTGACAGATATCCTGCTACGAGGTGACATAAGTGTGCTACCACTTGGAGATGGAGAACCCCTTTTTGGAGTTGTTGGTGGTGAAGGTGATCTTCTGCAACTTGTTGTGACAGGTATCCTACTCCTAGGTGACGTATGTGTGCTACCACTTGAAGGAGAACCTCTCTTTGGAGTTGAAGGTGGCGTAGGGGATTGGCCTTTCTTGTATGTGACAGCACCAGGTATCCTTTTACCCCTACATAAAAGAGGTGATGACATACTTTCACTCCTAGATAACGGACTAGGAGATCTGTTATAACAGAATCCATCTGGTAAGTTACAGCCTTGTCTGTATAATAGCCCTGGAGATGGAGGCAAAGGAGGGCTGGGAGACTGACTGTAGGTTGGTGTCATTGGTCTCCAAACACTTACACCAGATGGACCTGGAACTGGAGATGTTTTCATCCAAGCTGATGGGGAAGCTCTACTAGTGCTCTGGTAACCTGTGTCAGATGGTTCACAACCTTCAAATTCATCCAATGAAGAGCCYGACATGTTAGGGTCCATTGGAGAAGTAGCTTTGTCGCATACTGTAGGGGACATCAAAGTACTGCCTTTTGCCACAGGTATCTTACTGCCTGGAAATGATTGTGATCTTGTCTTGTTATCAGAAGGAGGTGATGCCACACCTTTCTTGTACACAAAAACAGGAATCTTACTGCCTGGAGTAGTACATCGCTGACTTTCCTTYAAAGAAGAGGAACTTCCACCAACATTGCTCAGACTAGCAGCAATCTCTCCATATGCTGGATCCTATACCAA